CTTAGTTGTATGTAGGTTAATTTATACCAAGGAAAGACAGCAAGTTAATCACAATTATAAAATTAAGTAACTTTGCAGAGTCACTTCAAAGTCATCTGTATCAGACCTTAAGTTGCATTCATTGATCAAAAAATCTTAGATACTCCACGCAAGTTATCTGTAAACTTACAACTGCTTTTTAAAAAAAATCTACTAATGAAAATAAATAAATAAATAAAGTACAGTTTTATTCAAAGTATATAAAAGTCTTAGATAAATTTTAAGCTGCCTCTAGTATTTTGAAAACCAGTACTAAAAGGGAAAATATAGTGATGATTACATTCTTAAGTCTCTCCATGACCTTCTTGTGTTATGTAGGGAGAAGCAGCGACATTGTGTCTGTTGCAAAACACAAAATGTATTAAAGTAAACCATTTAATTTGTTGAAATGCAAAATGCAAGAATTTCTAAATGCAAGAAGTTTTTATTGGCTTTCAATCCTGAGTTAGTAGTTGAGGATTTTTCCATATTTTAATATACATTGTGAATAAACCAAGCACAATATGTCATTTAAATTTATTTGTCAAAAATTATCTTCTCCCTTATATAATTTATTCAAAGTAAATTTTAAAAGATGTCATTTGTTATATTGGGTAAGACTGAATATTGCCAAAGATTTTCTTAAATATGAATTTTACATTATAATATGTGATAAGATAAAAGTTTTAACTTCAGATAATTCTTTTATCATATATCACACAAAAATACAAAGTGACTTTCTAAATTGCTAAGGTTTCTCAAAAACTATGTAAAAGTGTTTTAAAACTCTGAGATACTAAACCACTGAGATTGGAAGAGTTTCTTCTTTTTGTTTTTCTTACAATAGAGAAAACTGAAGCTCAGAGATATTGAACCATTTACCCACGGACAAACAACTAGTAGACAGCAGAGTCGAAATATAAAATCAGGATGATCTGATTCTAAAATTCATGCTCCTAACCACTTAGGCCAGTGTGTGCCTGTGCGTACACAGTGGCCGTGGGGATTTGGGGAGGAGGAGTCTGAATAGTGTTTCAAGACAAAAATCCATAGTCAATGGTGAGAGCTCGGAGAGACTGAAGTTTTATAAGGATTAGAAATGATATTAAGACTTCTAGCTGAGAGAGTCAGGAAAGTAGTAGGGTTGCTATCATAAAAATAAACAAACAAATAAATGGCTCAGCAAGACAGGGACACTCATTTAGATGAAAAGGTGCTGGAATTGATCCTGTCCTTGCTGGGTCACATGTAACATTAAGACTTTCAGGTAGAGCTGTCATATAAGCATTTGCAAATATAGGATATAAGTGCTATTGAAAGTCGGTGCTGAAAAGTGTAGATTTGGAATCCAGCAACACAGGATAGGTGGTCGAAACCAGAACAGCGGAAGGTTGCTGAGAGAATGAGAACTTGGAGAGGGAAAAACAAAACAAAACAAAACATGATCTAAGCCTTGGAAATACCATTACTAGTGCATTTAAGAAGGGGGTAAAGATGAGAGCAAAGGGGAAAAAAACAACAAAATAAAAACCCAAAAGTTAAAGGAGAACCAGGACAACATAGAATCATGAAAACCAAGAGATAGCAAGCATTGCTAACATTCTTTGAGCACTTACCATCGATCAGGTTTGTGTTACATATTTTACATACATTATCTTATTTAATCTTTATAACTCATGCAGGTAGGCTCATCCATCTCTTCTGACAGATGAAGACATGGAGGCCTAGCAAAGTTAAGCCATATGCCATACCTCAGCTGTTAAATCCTGGGGCCAGAACGGACCCCATGTTTCCCAGCCTCCAGGCTCCAGTTTCTAATCAGTGGTCTCCAGAGTGTGCAAGGCAAACCACTGTGATGTGGGAAGAAAATGTTAAAGTTATGATTATCATATCCCATTCTTCTTAAATTGCATTTTTGTGTATATTTTATAGTATGCATACTATATTAGTATGGTTAAACATGCATATTATATATTCAAGCACATTTTATAAATTAATAAGTATATATTTATTGGGGTATATGCACAAATAATTTACTAATGTGAGGATACAATAAAAAATCGGGGCGATCATTTCCTTAAAGCACTATGCAGAACTGCCCTTTTTTTCTTGTCCCATCTTCAGCAAGAAACTACATTCACTTTATATGGCCGTGTTATCTTTTAAATGCAGTACTAGTTCTAATTAAATTAAATAAGAACTCTTTATTACATAGGTTTTTTTCATGTCATTCCTTGGTATTTTCATAAATTCCTGAAGGTTTTTGAACCATTTGGTTCTTTGTAATAGTGGAAGGAACAGAGGCCATAGACCAGACAGACCTGGGTTCAAATACCACCTTTGACCTTGACCATATGACTCCCGGAGAAGTACTTAATTTCTCAGAGCCTCTGTTTGCTCTTCATTTTATCTTTTTTTTTTTTTTTTGCTCATCTTTAAAATGGAGATAATATTTACCTTGCTGATTGTTCTAAAGTTTAGCAATATCATAGGAAATAACTTAGCATTGGGCCTGGCATGCAGTTGATACTTTTTAAAGGGCAGCAGACAGTAATAATAGCAGCAGGCCTTGTTTGCTGCAGAGAATTTCTGTAGCCCAGTGGCCATCTCCCCTCTGAAGTCAAGTCATGTCTGCCTTTGGCAGAGTTTGGCCTATATTGTTCTTTTTTTTTTTAATTTAATTTTTTTTGGCCTATATTGTTCTTAATTCAACTTGGAAACATATTTGAGCATAGACAAAAAGTCTTTTCCTGAAATAGGCGGGCCACTGCACACAGCTGTGTGGGTCGAAGTATGCCATTTACCTGGACTGTAATAACAATAGCTCCTCCTGGCTTTGTGTAGAGCCGTAGCCCTGGAAACACGCTGGCAAGAACATAACGGGTCAAAAATATGGCAGCCTCAACAGACCCAAAAGACTTGAATGCCACTACCCTCTCACCTTGTCTACTTGTTTGATGCTCTCCACAGATCTGTACTCCCGACTTGGTGGTGTTCCTGGCTTGTGCCAATCAGAGGCTCAAAGAAAGATTACTGAAGCGTGCAGAGCAACAGGGGCGACCTGATGACAACCTGAAAGCTACCCAAAGGAGACTGATGAACTTCAAGCAGAACGCTGCTCCGTTGGTTAAATACTTCCAGGAGAAGGGGCTCATCATGACAGTAAGTTAGCTGTACTTTTGTATGTCCAGTACATGAACGACCTTTTAGATTTCTAATTGTCCCATGTTCTTCTCATTTAGAAATCTTTCTACCTTAAATATGTGGCTTCTGTTGGGTACAGATCCAATGAAAACAACTGGTAATTTTGATCTGATTTGCCTTTATTAAACCATTATTAAATCATTAAAAAAACACTTTCACTTTCATTTAATTTTTACAAAAAAAAATGGTAACCCTGGCTAGAATCTTATGGCCCTCAAGTTAAAAATAATTTTAAAATAATTTCTTGATAATTTTAAGCAAAACATGCCCAGTTTCTCAACTCTTCTATCTTTGGAAACCAAGTAAAATTGATAGACTTAAAATTACATAGTTGATACAGTGTTATATTAGACTTAAACTGTAAGTTAGACCTTACCATAGTGTACTGCTTAAAGAAATGAGATGCTGACAACCCAGAAGACATTTCCGAAGAGTTTGACTAGTCATGGAGAAGTGATATTGTCTCAAAATGGAAGGCGTTGCTCTTTCGGCCCCATTGAACAGTGCAAAGACTAATTTTTTCATAAACATTCAGTTTGTGTTGTGGTTAATGATATTCAGTGTGTCAAAGAAGAATGAGGCTGAATCACTAGTTATTACGGTTATTAGAAGTTAGAGGAAGCTGGAGGTGAAGATTCAGCCTAAGTCATGATCCCTACATCAGAGATTCAAGTCTGAAATAGAGGAGACAAAGAGGCTCATTGGCCACCTCAGGAAGGCGTTTTGCAGAAGATGACACTGAGACCAGAGCAGCTCCGTGGTGCTCCATGGTGGTCCCCGAGCTCCACAGAACCCTCCCCTCAGCCCTTTGGTCTTTCTCACCAGACTAGAGATTCTTGCTTAGTGGGGTTTTAAGCCCCCGTGGAGAATCCTGTGAACGTGATGCGTCTCCATCCCAATAAAATGCACAGAGGACGCTTCTCATAAGTTTTAGGTAAATCTGCTAAATCCCATCTGCAGAGCTCCTATAACCTAACAATTACTGTGTTAAAAAAAAATCTCTTCATTAGCCTAAAATGCCCTTAGATTGAAAGAGATTGTCACGGCATTTGAATAATAGTTTTGGTCTTTCTAGCACTATAAGGAAATGCTTATTAGAATTTGCCCTTTGAGTCCACGTTGTCATGGCAGAGAACCGTAAATCTGATCTGAAAAGTGTTCACAATGCCAGAGTTCATTTTCGGTCTAAAAGAGACATGAGTGATATGAAAGATTCAAGAAAATCAGGATGGGTGTTTCTGTGGCTCTTTTTTTGTCGGAGTTTTTGTTTGTTTCTCCTGCAAATTACCATTGCTGACTTCTGCGCTGTGTCATGAAAATAGAAATTTACCCTACAGACCAAACCCCAAGCACAAACTGCAGGGCCAGAGTTTTAATTGATGTTTTCAAGGCTTAAAGGTATTACCGGAGCGTCTCTGATTACTCCCTGCTTGTCACGTTCGTCATCACAAGCAGAGCAGATTTCCCAAATGAATGCAGAGTGAGGACTGTTAATTTACTAATATTTTGCATGGAGGTGAAATGCCATTGCCTCTAATTGAAGGAGTCAGTAACAATGCAGATGACAGCCTGTAACCTCCCTGCTAAACCCAGATGAGCTTTAAGATAAACGCCTCTAATTACTGGGAGAAGCCTTGCATTGGAAAGTCACCTTTTCAAAAGCGGTGAGCACAAACGCAGGCTGAGCTCTGGGAAATAGAATTTGAAAGTCTAGTCTGACAGAGGAGCAAGCACTGTATCCTGAACCGCATGTCCTCCTGCAGAACCTGGATCGTAGCTCACTTTTGGAGTTAAAATATATTTGGTAGCCTTTCTGCTTTAAAAGATGAATTAAATCATTAAAGTGATCATCCTTACTAATCAAAAGCATATTAAGATCTCAGTGAAAATCGGGGAGTTAAAAGATTAAACCCAAATATTTTTTTCTCTGTAGTTTGTTTTCTTTTTCTTCTACTTGCTCCTCCTAATTAATTCATTTATTCATTCAGTAAATATTTATTAAGAACCGATGGGTGCCAGACACTCTGCTAGGTGTTAGGGGTGCAAAGCTAAATAAACAAGAGGTAAAGATCTTTATTTTATTTCATAACATAGTCCAAATGCCTGGAACAGTACCCCAGAGGGGTACTTCCTCCCTCGTGCTTTGGAATCTGAAACCTCACTTGGAATCTCAGCTCCACTGCCGTTGAGTAAATTCGCGGTGCTCTAGGACCTGGTCGCCATCTGTACATTGGAGATGACACTCCATACTGCATGTGTTGCTGTACGGGTGAAATGAGAGAATGCATGTGGCCTGGCAGGGAGAGGCTGTGTGTAAGACGCACCGTGCAGCCACATTGCCTGGTCCAGATTCCTGCTGCGTCTCCTAGCACCTGTGTGACCCCCTGCAGGTTACTTATTTTTCTCTGAGTCAAATGCTTGACCTGTAAAATGGGTATAATCATCCGTCCTACCTCAATGTAATTACAAGGAATAAATGGATATCAAATGCTTAGAACAGTGCCTGGAATGTCATAAGGGCAATGTGATTGACGTTGCTTTATAATTTTCCTGTTTCCTCCTTTTTCTTCCTTCCACCTCAAATGCCAATTTTTGGAACCTACAATTACCACTTAAAAATCTGTTCTCTTTGAGGGTTTTCTGTTGCCTTTTCTCCCATAGATGGATTATTGAAGAAATCCAAAATGAAGAATTTAGGTTATAAAACCTTCTTGCCGAATTCACTGTTTTTCTTTGAAAGTGTCTGTTTATCTGTTATAAAATTGTCCCAATGTTTTCTTTGATATCTTTGTCACCCATATAATCAAGCTATACAATGGCTGTGTCTGAATATGGTGGTTGAATTGTAACAGATGTCAACTCATTCTTTTTTTCTTTTTTACTTCAGCATTAACGGTATCTGTTGGCAGATTTGACTAAAGAACAAACAAACCTAGTTTAACTGGAGAAAAAATCTAATCAAAATAGCCAGGAAAACATGCTGTTGCCTGAAATACTGTATCTTATTGACATGGTTCCCATCACATGGACTGCTTCATTTTTATTCTTTTATTACACTTGTCTGTATACCGCCATCTGTGCAAGTATGAATTGAACGGTATGAAATCACAAGCCTGGTATACTAGGGACTTCAGAGAATCTTTTCAGACAAGCTTGTGGTTTTTTTTTTAACTTACCGTAGGTTGGATGTAATAGTTCATCATGTCTTTTACAGCTTTTTTGCTTCTAATTAAAGATTAGGATGCTGTGAGTTCCCAAAGATTGTCTGAAGTGTCTCTTCAAAGTTTGAGCAGCACTGGGATTAGGAAAGCTACTTATTTAGTCTTTAGTGAGTAAGTTGTGTCTCATGACATTTTGGAGCAGTTGGACTTGATGAAACTGTATAAAAGCCTCAATAATAGGTCTGTTTAGTGATAATTTTTTATTTTATTTTAAAAGCTTTTTTTATTAAAAAAAAAGTCTTCATTTTAGTCATCTTCACAAGCTAGAATGTTTTTAAAGAAACAGTTAAAACAGGCCAAGTCATTGTACGCTTGACGAACTCTTTAAAAAAACAAATGCAGGGTTTTTTTTTTTAAGAAGAGTCTTTTAATATGCTTGAAAAATAATAGGGTAAGATGCAGTGTTTATGTTATTATTTTCCAAAATGCATTGTGCCATTGGATATTCCAGTCAGCGGGAACAAGACACAGCTTGCCAGAGAAATGGTTGCCTGCCCATGTGCATTGAGCAAATGCTGCTTAATACTGACGACCATCGTGAAGGTCCACATTAGTTTCAGACTGTGAAGTGAGCCAATGGTCATTGTTCTTCCAGACTTTTTATAGGAGGAAGCAAGAGAGGCAAAATTTAAAGCTGAGAAGTAAGCTTATAGTCATAAGACGCAGGAAGAGACTTGCTAACTAGTACCTTGACTTACTGACTGGATCTCTTCAGCCAGGAAAGGGAGAGGGTCTTTGGTAAAATCAGGATTATTTCTTGTTCACCAACACAAACTTTCCTAGGGAAGAAGGTGAGGAACTAATTATAAACCATCTTAGCATATAGCAAGGCACATGGACCAGTAATTCCCTAATTTCAGTATATAGTAGGTCAGAAAAAATTGTAATGGCACTGAGATGAAGTTGGCTTATTTTTTAAGGCTTTACTTTTCTAAAGCAATTTTAGGTTCACAACAAACTTGAGAGGAAGAAACAAGAGATTTCTTATATACTCCCTGCCTCTATGCATGCATGGCCTCCCTCATTATAAACATCCCCCACCAGAGTGGGACATTTGTTACAACTGATGAACCTATGCTGACACATCACCATCACCCAAAGTCTGTAGTGTGCTCTGGGGTTTACTCTTGGTATTGTACATTCTTTGTTTTTGGACAAGTGAATAATGACATGTGTTCATCATTATCATATCATGCAGTGTTTTCACTGCCCTTAGATACCTCTGTGCTCTGCTTGTTCCTCTCTTACCCACCCCCATCCCCTTAGCTTGGCTCCTGGCAACCACTGATGCTTTTACTATCTGCATAGCTTTACCTTTTCCAGAATGTCATATAGTTGGAATCACAATTCGTAGCGTTTTCAGACTGGCTTCTCTCACTTAGTAATATACATTTTAATTTCCTCCAGGTTGCTTCAAAGCTTGATAGCTCATTTGTTTTGAGCACTAAATAATATCCCCTTGTTTGGATATACCATAGTTTATTTATCCATTCACCTACTGAAGGGCATCTTGGGTACTTCCCAGTTTTGGCAATTATGAATAAAGGCTGCTGTAAATATTCATGTGCAGGTTTTTGTGTGGATGTAAGTTTTCAGTTCATTTGGATAAATACCAAGGAGCATTACTGGTAGATGATGTGGTAAAAGTATGTGTAGTTTTGTAAGAAACCATTAAACTGTCTTCCAAAGTGGCTGTACCATTTTGCATTCTCACCAGTGATGTGTGAGAGTTCCTGT